CCCGGCGTCCCTCTGCGCCCCTCGCCCCGTCCTCGGGTGGGGACTGGCCTGTGGGACGTGGGTCTGCAGGATGAGGCCGTTGACCCGCTCCCGGCCGGCTGCTCTTGCGGTGCCCTGCTGTCGGGCAGGGAATGGGGCTGCAGTTTGGGGCCTGGGGGCTGCCCGGCAGGAGCAGGATGAGCTCCCGGTGGGATGGGCAGCAGGACGGGCAGCACTGCCTCGGCGGGACGCTCCCCATCCCATCCTACCGTGCCTCTGTAACTGTGATGCTCCTTTTCTGCTCATCTCCCTTTGCAGCCACCTGCAACGGCATAGTTTCCTTTTGCAGCTGGACATTGTGTAGGTCTGAAGGGCCAATTCGGGTGGGCGCCGGCGGCTCGGTGGCACAGTGACATAGTGGCAGAGAAGGGCCAGGGCCCTGGAAGCAGCCCAGCTCAGTGAGCAAATGATATAGCAGAAAAGGGGACACTTCATCTTCAAACTTGATTACTCGCCCTTAGCTTTAACTGCACTGTCTCCGTTTAAATGTGATTTACATATATCTCTCATATTGCGGTTTAAGTATTTCCCCAGGGTGAGGGAATGAATAAGTTTCATTATCACTACTTAGGAGAGGCTGAGGTTTCAGCTCTCAGCTCATGCTGCATAATCGAATGAGGAGCTGAGCCGGCTGCTGCTTTCACACCGGCTGTTATTGCAAATTATAAACTTTGCTTTCACCTAGCCAGGCGGCCAGGCCCCACCAGACCTGGGGGCACAGGCTGGGGGAGCCCTGGCACGGGGCTCGGCTGCCTGGTGTGCTGGAGATGGGCGCTGTGCTGCAGCTGCCCCCAGCTATAGCACTGGAAATTGAATTTTCCAGCGTAATTGGAAATAAACTAATTTCCTCCTCCCCCATGCAAATTCTAATGTCCCAAAGCTGAAGGACCATGTGTGAGTGGGGTTAAAAGCTGTTAGGATGCAGGAGGGACAGCCATCACTGTGCCCCAGCACCCTGTGCCATCACGCTGGACCTGACGATGGCTTGGTGGGGATGGGGACACCGCGGCCACGATGGTGACATCCTGGCACAGCCGCCTTCGGGGCTGCAGGGCTTGCCTTTGGCCCTTTTACACCCTGCCCTGCAAAGCCCTGAGCTATTGCACTCTGCCTTCAGGCATGGCCGTGGAGGTGAGGGGGCACCCCAGGGGCCAGCGGGCTGGGGGTGCTTGGGCACGGCCTCCTCCTGCTCCCCCCCCGCGCTGCCCTGCCAGTGATGACAAACCCAACAAAGGGAAAAGAAAAGCACTTGTCATCCAAAATGTGGAGCGCGGAAGCAAATTTATTTTTAGATAAATCTAAAGCTTAATTTGTGAAGCTAATATCAATCAAAATGAGAGATGGGTTTTTTTAAGTCCTTTTGCAGCCTTGCAATTTATACTGCCTGTCTCTTCCCTTCACTCTCAAACAGCAAAGGCGGCCGCTAAGTTTCATATCAGCCTCATGCATGCCTGCCTTAGAAATTATTATTATTATTTTAATAGGAAGATATCTGCAGACCAGAAATGGCATAATTTCCCCCCCAGCATGTTCCTGCAGTGCTTGTGGGGTGCTGCGCCCCGCTGGGGCGAGGGGGCTATGGGTGGTGGTGGCTTTGCCCCGGGTGCCGGGACGTATCTCAGGGCGGGTCCCTGCCCCATCTCCAGCCCACGTCTGCGTGTGCTTCGGGTCCCCACGGACTCACCTGCAGCCGCTGGAGCGGCGCTGCGGCAGTCCTGGATGGAGGCAGGCGCCCACCAAGGAGGGACCCATTTATTTTGCATTACATGTTTGAAGTCTACCCATGCACAGTGAAATCCTCCTCCAAGAGGGAGCTATCTGAGGGGAGAATTAACCTGCTAAATAATAAAAACCCTGCGCACCTCCTAATGAAATGTAATGACTTTGAGACCTGCAAGATGGATCGTGCCGTTGCTCCAGCCGCTCGCCCTGATTTATGGTGATGTGGGAAGCAGTGCTAATGAATCTCCCCCCTTGGAGGGGAACCGGTAGTGGAGCAAAGTTTCTCCTGGGGCCCCCAAAGCCTCTGGCAAGGCTCTTTGCACTGTGCAGCCCTGGCCTCGGTAGGGCCCCCC